GAATAGGCCCCATGGCCATTGTAGATGGATTAACCTACTATCCTCTACTCATAGAGCCTACTGTATCTCCTACTGTATCAAAGCAAAATTGAATTGAATTGACTAACATGACAAAATCTTGTGAATAGGCCCCATGGCCATTGAAGATGGATTATCCGACTATCTACTACTCACAGAGCCTACCATATCTAAAAACGAATTGTATGAAATTGTAGTATGACGGGGCCCTGCCACGTGTCAAATTTCGTTAATATTTTAATGCCAAAAAGTCGTGGTCATTATATCCATCCGATCTCCTGCTAAGCTGGAGGCATTAAAATAGTGAAGGATTAACCTCCAACAATCGTAACGGCCAACCTATCAAACCAATCAGACAATTCTTTCATCTTTCACTACCTACCTACCACTACTCCTAAGGCTATACAGGGGACCCCTGCAAGCATAGCTATAGCTATGTACCTCTCGTGGTTAGGGGAGGTTATTTCTCTCGGTGGAGGGAGGTATCGCATGTTTGTCCCTTGCCTGAGTGATTTAGGCTGCAGGGTTGGGGCGGCCGGTGGGGGGGCTGGCTAACACAAGGACCGAGCATTTGCTAGTAGTTGCGCCTCCCTTTTCATCTCCCCCCACCCCCATCGAGTAGCAGGAGACTGGATGTCTACGGCCAACACTCTCCCACACACCACACACAACCCACACACACTCACACACACACCCGTGTTGGCTGAAGATCCTACTGGGATCAAGCTGACTATTTCAGCTGGTTGGCACCAAGCATACCGCTGGTGGCCTTTGGGGATTGAACCAATGACCTCCTGAATGCCGCTGGATGCACAGATTAATTTCAAATTGCAACTCTTTTCTTTCGCTAAAAAACATGGCTACGCCGGACCCGGACCCGGACATTTCCGGACATCAAACCGGACACGTGTCTGGTTGTTTCCGGACGTCCGGAATTCCGGACATTTCCGGACCTCCGGACATTAGAGGATCCGGACGGTCCGAAAAAAAAAAAATGATTTTCTTTTTTTTTTTCACAAGTCCTGGTGTCTTTTAATAACTTGATACATCTGGCATCGCGGCTTACATAAAACTTAAGCAACTTCAAGGTTCAATAATAGATGATGCTGGTCAATAGACAAAACAAAAAAAATAAATTAAAAATCAATAAAAGAAACAAACTTCAAAAACATGTTTGGCATCCCTGCTTACATACCTCCAAGCCGGTACCTGCAACCATACAGTTCAACAAGTGACAACAACATACAAACAGAACTACAAAAACATTTGAAAACATCACTTCTCACAGAACTGCAGAGAACAGTCCCAAAGACGTCCATACTCCATAGCAAAATGTGTTCACATAACTCTCTCTCTCTCTCTCTCTCTCTCTCTCTCTCTCTCTCTCTCTCTCTCTCTCTCTCTCTCTCTCTCTCTCTCTGGTGTCGCGAGCTTCAGCACGGCCGCTGGATGACGCGCCGCGATGGAGGGCTCCGTGGCGATAGGCGTTGTTGGTTGGCTGCTCCCTTCGGAGCTCAAACGCGTCGGGTTGAAGTGAGGGCGGGAACCGACGACGCGACTTTCGAAATGCAGTTGGCCCCTCCCGCTCGCCCCCACCCTAACGAGGCCGCCAAAACAACGGCCTCTTACAACCAAACAACGAAACCACAAAGACATTAAAAAAAAAAAAAAAAAAAAAATTCGGACGCCGTGGATCACTCGTGTCCGGAAGCCAAAAAAAAATTGAAACGGCCCTCGAAAACCCCAGGACCAATTTTCAGGGTTCGGCAACAACGTAAGGAAGGGCCCTGGCCAACCCCCCGATTTTTTTTTTTTTGCCGATTTCCTTAGGATCCGGACCTTCCAGACCGGACGTCTGGATTCCGGTCTGGATTCGGACCGTCTGGATGGGGGTCCGGACGTCTGGATTCCAGTCTGGATTCGGACCGTCTGGATGGGGGTCAGGACGTCCGGATCGTAGCCATGCTAAAAAATCATAAAAGTCAAATACTTCGTTGGAGTGCGTCACCTTTTTCTTTTTTGTCTTTTTTCCTTTCTCTTTCTCTTTTTGTGTGTGTTTTGAAGGCTCAAATCCTCAGGGTCCCTCCCCACGCACCATGTGTGAAAAAGACAAAAGCTATGGCGGGTGTATTTTCCCATTCTGTAAGGGCAGATGCATGCTCCTTTGCTCACGAAAAGCTAATGTTCCTTTCTTTAATTTTACTATTGTTAATTTGTTGTACGTCCTTTTTTGTTTTTTTAATGAAATTTATTCACAGGTGGTTAGGTCAACATTACTGCTGCTGGGATTTCTGTGCAGAGAGCGCTATTTCTGTCAATACTTTGTGGAGTCTGGTGCCGTGCACTCTCTACTCCAATGGTCAGTGATTAGCCTGCCCCGTCCAATGCACACAATATAAATATGTATATGGCAGCTCTGTTTGACGATATATATGGTGTTTTTTTATTAATACATGGAGGCTCGCAAGAGTCGGAGCTGCGGCGGAGCCTCTACGAGGCTGAAAAGCATGACTGCAATCAATAAATTTCTCTTCGTAGATCATCTCTGGTATGACCTGCATAGTATGTATAGTCCAACAGAACTGCATGGTAAACCGTATGGTTAAGCGTGACAACAGTCAACGTTGTGCCCGTCCATTTACATTTCATTTCACTTGGAGTCATCCATCCGGCATGGTTCTGTTTAACTTAATGGAGGAACAACAATAGACCAACGATCACTGCTAAGTTTACGGAATGTTGTTATTGACGATATATATATACCGACAGTCTGTAGAGTTTTCCATCTGGTGTGGGTGAGTGATACTCTACTTTGATTTTGGTTAAGGTAGATTATCATTTACAGTGTAATCAGTGAGGGGATTCTGCAGACTGTTGAGGGTTCAGCCTCCTGATGAGTCCGTGAAACTCCGACGAAACAGTTTGTCACAGCCCCTCGTTTGTTGTCCTCTTCTCTCTCTCTGCCTACGGTTTACCGGGCAGTTCTGTCTGTGACGATACATATATACAGGGTCACCAGCCCGTACGTACGTAGGTCCCCGGGCAGACCTCCGTACGTACGGGCGTTCGGGGTCCCGTACGGGGTCCGAAACCGACGGCGTTCGGCCCCCGCCAAAAAATATTTCGGGGCCTAAAACTAATTATTTTTTTCTGAATTTTCTTTTGTGAGTTCTCTATGACGTGAGGTACATGCCTGTAAATTTTCAAGTCATTTGGCAAAGCCAATTAAGAATTAAAAATCGCCACAAATGGCGGTGTCAAAACGTGCTCGCCCACGTATTTTTTCACTTTTTACTTTTTGTTTTCACTTTAGTTCAGGGTCTAAACAATTTTATTATTTTTTGAAACTTTTTTAGTGGGTTTTGTATTATGTGAAGTACACATCTATTAATTTTCAGGGCATTTAGCTATGCAAAAAAACAATGAAAAATCTCCAAAGATAGCAGTGTCAAAAACATGCTCGCGCACTCACTAAAAAAAAAAAAAGAACAACAGTCATCAAAAAAATCTGAACAAAAGATATGTTATGGAGAAAAATAAATTAAACAATATTTGCCGGAGCATTACATCCGAATTCCTTACCAAATGTGAAATAAAAATAAAATACGAAAAACAAATACTAATAATAAAAATAAATAAAAATAAAAAGAGAATTTAATTTAGTGAGTGCGCGAGCATGTTTTTGACACTCCCATGTTTGGCGATTTTTCATTTTTTTTGGCATAGCTAAATGCCCTGAAAATTTACAGATGTGTACTTCACATAATACAAAACCCACTTAAAAATTTTCAAAAAATAGTAAAATTGTTTAGACCCCGAACTAAAGTGAAAACAAAAAGTAAAAAGTGAAAAAATACGCGGGCGAGCACGTTTTGACACCGCCATCTTTGGCGATTTTAGTTCTTATCTGGCTTAGCCAAATGACTTGAAACAGGCATATACCTCACGTCATAGAGAAATCACATAAAAAAATTCAGAAAACAATAATTATTTTTAGGCCCCGAAATATTTTTTGGCGGGGGCCGAACGCTGTCGGGTTCGGACCCCGTACGGGACCCCGAACGCCCGTACGTATGGAGGTCTGCCCGGGGACCTCCGTACGTACGGTCTGGTGACCCTATATATATATACTAGCTAAGTACCCGCGGTGCGGGCGGTGCGGGCACTGCCCGCAAAAAAA